GAAGGAGGCGGTGATCTGAACCACTGCTGAAGGATGGTACCACTGAGACGTCCAGTAAGCACCACCTTCGATTAGTGAGGATGTGGTCAATCTCCGCATGAGTCGTACCGTTGGGTGACTCCCCGCCTACTGCCGGTGTTCTTTCTTCATGAAGATGGAGTTGCCATGAAAGAGGCGTGCGGCGGATAAGAACCCAACAAGACCTTACCATTCTCATTTCGGAGTCCTAATCCAAATCTCCTGTGGTTCCCTTCTTCTGGAATCCCGATTTTCGCATTAAAGTCACCCATGACGAACTTATCGAAGAGGTTTTCTTTGCGAATGCCTTTCTCCAAATCCTCATAAAGCACAAGTTCCGAATCATCAGCTGCTGCTATTGAAGAATAGCAGTTGATGATAGTGATGGTTTTCCGGTGCAGAGGAGGAGTCGAAGGATAGCCAGACGAGATAGGATCTTGTGCGAATCGACAAGAAGGACAACGATAAATCCAATGCCTCACTTTTCTTGATGGAACTTTCTCTTCATGAATGATGAGTGTGCCTTCACTCAGCTGCCTCACGTCCGTCTTCCTGGACCTTGTTCCCTGCAGGACGACGTGGTAGTTGATGCGCCCTGCAACTTCGAAAAGGGCGTGAAGATTGGCGTGGAATCTGTCCTGGCGTTGTAGGAACAGAGCATGAGACAATCACCATGGCGAGTCGTTGACGTGTCCGTTTAGTCCGAAATCCATTGCCTCCTGTCCAACCTGACACTGGTCTTGATGGCATCCGACGCCGTAGATGTGACCCAGTATGCAGGGATTTTTTTCTCTTACATGCTCTACGGGCAGTAAAGGACTTCTCCCTAAACATTAGCAGAGCCTTGCCAGAGGCCTGTCAAGCTTCACCACAGGCAATCGCTGATCTTATATAGATCAGGGAGTCACCTAGTGACTGAATCAGCTAGACGGTGGTACTTCTGGCATGGCCTACTCTTAGCTGGGCATCCGGAGAACCGGAAACGTCGTATTCCTTCTCATTTTGGGAGACCCTGCTGGAGAATAAACCTCCGCTGTACTTCGCAGTTCGACACCCAGAGTCAACCCCGCGCCACGATGAGGCGGTAGACCA